CAGCCTGGGGATCAGGTTAAGTTCCCAAGGGACTGCTGAGGTTATACGGATCCAGATTTACTGATTTTATTGTTACAGTGAAAAGTTTATTTTGGGGAGGGGGGAATAAAAGAAAAACTAGTGAAGAAAGAAAAACTCTCCTCCATAGGGAAGAAAATGTCCATCACCTAAGTACACTAGCACAAAGCAGGGGCTTACAGACTTGGGTAGGGTTATGTGAAGGGGGCATGCCCAACAAAGCTTTTGCCAGTGTCAAATCACCAGAAGATATCAGTTTATAACCCAGAGCCTATGAATATCCAGCCTGTGTCCCGCACTATACGGTTAAGAGATTGTGTTCCTGATCATTTTGAATTTTTAAATTTATTTTACCTAAGCCATTATGAAAAACATGTTCGGGCAACGCTTGTTAATATCATTAGAAACATAGCCTAGCACAATATCTGGTAGCAATACTTAATCCCAATTTTGGAAGACATAATTAGATTACATTTATTAATTAAAAATATCAAGTGTGATTCCAAAGTGAAAGCTATTTTAGCATATAGAACACTTCCTAGCAGTAGTAGAGAAGTAATTAACATTTTAAAATCCCAAATGAAAAGCCATAACATTTTATTCAAAACATGAAGAAACACAGAAATATTCCTAACAGTAATTGAAATAGGAGGAATGCTAAATTAATTCTAAATAAATTCTTTTATACTAAAAAGAATAAAATGTTTTATATATGCATCTTTCACTTTAACTTTTGACATGCAGGACAGAAAAAAAGTTTTGTAGAATAACCTACAATATTTTACACTGTCCATGGCATATAATAAAAAATTATGATTGACCCACATTACAGGAGAGTTTTAAAGCTCAAAACAAACATAACAGACTGTTCTCGCAGGAAGAAAAAACATCTATAGCCACAGCAATAGGTGTAAGCATAGCAGCTACACCACAAGTTACTAAGTATCGCACTTTAGTACCCTCTTTTAGTTAACGTAGCCACAGGTCAAAATGACAGCCTGACACCAATGAGGCCTGGATATTTGTATACCAGGGTGCTCAGGTTCTATATATGGGTATTAAAAAACATTAAGACATTTAGATGTGGCCATTTACAGAAAGTGAATCTGTACAAGGTTTTATCAGACAGGCTTGCTTTAAAGTGGTTGCAAACACACAAAAAAATCTAAATTGAAATGACCAGTCTACCTTACACAGCATAGCAGCAGACGTCATCTGTCCCTAGTCAGGCCAAAAAAGGAGCAGCCAGAAGTCCTCTCTACTTTCCTACAGTGAAAAAACCTGACACATGAAAAAGATTTGTGTCACCACACCCCTCTCCTGTGACTGAGACTAATTAGGAGGCAGCTCCAGCCTGAGGAGAGTGAGAAACCGGTTACCCCCCATAAACACTGGACAGCATTTGAGGTACCAGAGACTGCAGACGTCCATAGGCTGCAGGGAGCTGAGCAACTGTTGAATTGCTGGTTAGTTTCAACTAACAGGAGCCAAATAACCTCACACACATTTAACCTCACAGCAGAAGGATCACAATTAACCCCTCAATAGTTGGACACTTTTACTGTAATGCCAGATAGTTACAGACTAACAGTGTCCAGTCATTGAGGGTTTAATTGTGATCCTCCTGCTTGGCTTTCTCCCTGGCAGCTGTGGGGTTAAATAGTTAGGCGACCCCCCCCTCCCCCAATTATTTTATCATGATTACCTGTGAAAGTATGTATTCCCCCTCCTCCTCTGTTAGCATAGATATGCACAGTGTCAGTACGGTCCGCTGAGTAATTCCCGAGTTAGGCTATTTGAGGAGTGATGTATGTGGATGGATGCAGGGCATATGCCCTCTTCTTTCATGCTCATGCATGAGACTCCTAATTAGTCTGTCAGTCACAGGAGAGGCGATGTGGTGACAATTTGTTTCATGTGTTTTTTTTACCGGTTAGAGATCACATCACTGGCTGCTTCTTTCTTGACCAGACTACAGACAAATGACTTCTGCTGTTCAGCTGTGTGAGGTAGACTGGTCATTTCAATGTTGATTTTTTGGGGTTTACAACCACTAAACTCAGGCAGCAACAGTTTACATTTTATACATGCACATAGATGTTACTTATGCCAAAAAAATGCAGGGTCTTCACTTTTTGCTACATTATGTCCCCTCGAGTTCTTATCATATGCAACAACTGCAAAGCATATATTATCTATATATACCGAAAGCGATATTTTTTAGGTTGCTTCTCTTCTTCTGTTTCTCGGATATAGTGCAACATTGGCTATATAGGATGCACTGAAAATGACGCTACTATTAATAACAGCAAAAAGACGACGCACACACACTAGTTCATAGTAAAGCTAAATAGGGCCATCATTTTGCAGTGCCTTCACATTCATATTCAAATAGTGCCTTGATACCCCAGAACACAGCAATGCTGTACTATAGGAAACATGGACCACAGCTCTCATGGCTGTGCTATGATCCACTCTTAGGGTGCACTCACACTAGACTGTTCTAACTAAACTGTGGCCAAAATGCACTCACACTGGACTATAAGGAAATGTTCCTGGGCACACTGATGCTAACCAGCTTACAGTGATCTCTGCTTCAGTATGTAGTCCTATAATCAAGACTTCTGTGCTCCGGCACACTTTGAACTGACATTGATGCAAACTGCTCTGGACCACATGTGAACCATGCCCAGTACCACCTCCTCTTTAAGGTGATCCCAGGCACTGCACTCTTAACTAATCCCAGGGGCAGTTTGGACAATATAAAACACAAACCAGCCCAAGGTAGTGAACAGCAGAGCATAGGACCAGTTAAAAGTGCCAGTACACCCGTACTCTTCTTGCCGCCGTTTTGGCCTCACTCACACAGACAAAACGAGCCCTCCTGCAGATTGCTGTGGCAAGTATACTGTGAACACCTTTGGATGGGATCTTAGGTGTCCTGATCAACTGCAGTTATTAAGCATGTACAACTGAATGACAGGCTGAGAGGCGCTAGGGTTGTCCACAGGTGTAAGCAAGTATCTGCACAGCCAGCGGTTACCTGCCATTGGGGACAGATATCTGCCTCTGGACAAAGTCTATCTGCGTCCCAGGGGAGACACCTATCCCTAACAGCAGGCAACTGCTGAATGTGCTAATACCTACTGACAGCAGTGGACAGTCATGGCTCCTTTCACCCCCTCATTTAGCTCTATAGGCTTAGCAGCAACTGATCACTGGAACAGCTGGGATCCTAGCTGCAGATATTTGCAGTATACTATATCTTCCAAAGGACTCTAAGAGACCCCCAATGTTAACTAGAACCAGTCACTCCAAGCCTGACATTTAAAAAAAAAAAATTGGCTATTATATTGTGTTTGTGTGTTCTAAAAATAGCGTTACTGTATTTTTTTTACTAAAAACATAGGTGTGATAAATGTGCACAGGCCATGTGACAAATTGCACCTACTACCATTTTTCTTCTTCAGAGTCTATACAGTACTTTCAAATGTTTGGAGATTTTACCTAAAGTAGTTAAAATAGAACTAAAAAGGTGAAACATTTTCTACATCTTGTGGGAAAGGGAAGATTATAACCCGTCAGATTTTATTTGCCATCTGTATCCCATTTGGGAGACTTACCTTCACTTCCTGTCCCATAGTCAAAATGGGCAGTGAGAGGAAACCCTAACATAGTTAGGGAAAATAAATCATGGTTGTCACCAGGGGCATCAAAACTAGTGTCCCATTGGAAGAGGTCACCTCTATTCCTGTTTGGATAACAATCCAAAATGTGGCATTTGCTTTTATTTTCATTCACAGTGATAAACTGAACAAATGACAAATATAAAGCGTGAATCTCCCTATCTACACTCTATCCAAAACAAAGTTTTTAAGTATACTTTAAAGTGTTACTAACCCAGGACCCTGCATTCACTATATTTGGTCTCCCACAGTACACCCAACATGGAAATGCAATTATTTTAGTACATATAAACTATTGAATACTTTTTCTCATCAGCAGTTAGAGCAGTATTGTGACTTCTAATAGTGTTCAGCAGAACACTGGTAAAAAGCTTGTAGGAGGAGTTTTCAATCTCCTCTAGGAGGATGCATGACCCCCGACCTCTGTCTGGACAGTGCTGATTACATGCACTCTCCCAAAAAAAAAAAAAAAAAAAAAAAAAAAATTATTTTTAGGAATAACTCACTGAAATCTGTCCGAACAAGAGTCTAGTAAACATCCCGGGTATGTTAAAATTTGAAACATGAAATCAAATTATAATTTAATCATAAAAATATAATAATAATAAATGTAATTCAATAATATAATCAAACCAAAAACACTGAAATTTGAAATATAGTTCCAAGTTCGCACATCACGGAGCAAAGTCGCAAAATCGTTTTCAGTGTCGGATGACGAATTTCCCCACGAATCATTATCACTCAATTCTGCAAGTGGTTCTAATTTACTATCATCATTCTCTAGCTGGTCTAAAACCGCTTTTGACCTAAAGGGACGCTTTTTGGACGCCATGGACATTTCTCAGTTTCCAGGCAGAAAACAGTAAAAATGCAGGCAGGGCACAGGACAAAGCACTCGGGACAAAATGTATGTGAAATGGTTTTATACAGTAATGTTTTACTATGTGATTTTAGTGAATTTAGTGAATGTCACTTTTTGTCATTTTCAAATTCCCCGCCATTCCGTCCCCGTATGTCCTGACGTCACAGGGGACAGAAGCCAGAAGACAGATGCCGGTATCCGCCGGAGGACATTACAGGGGACACTAGAGGAGGGATATCGCAGGAGCGCAGGACAAGGTAAGAGAAGAGATCCCGGAGCAGCGCTGCATGGTAAGCCTGAGTGTAGCTCGGGGTTACCGCTTGTGGTACTGAAACTTTACCCCGAACTACACTCGGGAATACCGGCAGGGAGGTTAAATAACTTTCACAGAAAAAGAGGAAAACTGATAAAGGATTTGTTTTGACAAAGCTTACATTCTGGAACTCCACTAGAAGTATCCTTACAAAGTAATCTTTCCTTGATTGTTCATCCTCCTAAATAGAAACAAAAACAAGTTAAATCATAATGCACAACTTATTTACAGAAAACAGGACATACAGTACTTATTCCCAAAGAAGCAACTCATTCAGGTCTATATAAACTGAGCACTAGACACAGTCTTACACAGCACTGTGTTTATATTTATTTTGTTAAAGTGGACATAAAGTCAAAACTTGATGTGCTACGCACACTCCATGCAGTCTTCTGGGACAGGATTCCACCAGACAAATGCATCATATGACCCTGGACTTGCAAAATGATCTGCAGCTAAATTACACAGTAAGCTTGGTGTCTAGAAAAAAACTCAAGCAGAGCCCAGTTTTCACAGGTCACATTACAAGCCAGCCCCATGTCTTCCTCATCATGACCAACCCAGAAAACTCCCGTGTACTCTTGGCTTTGCAGTATCTGAAAAAACTTTAAAAAAAAAAAAAAAAAAAAAGGGTGATAAAAACTGAGAAATAGTCCAATGAAATAGGAAAGATGTCCATTCTCCTACCAGCAAAAAACTGATGCAAGATGGGAGTGCAAGGGGTTAGGTGTACTTCACACAGACAATGATCTGGAATCCGAAAAAGGCACAAATTGCCCATGTGAAGGAAGCCCAATACAGCCTGTTCAATAACTGTTCTGCTTCCAATGTCTTGATTCTTCTGTAGGTGGAAGCATAACCCTATGTACCCGAGACACTTATCCTGTGTCCCTTAATGTATGTTTAAATAAAATTATATTGGCTTTTACTTACTTTAAAACAGACCCGAACTTAAAAGTGAGAATTTGTCAAGTTATAGGGAACATTAAGAATAATTAGTTGTGCCAATGCAGCACCCTGAAAAATATACATCTTGTCTGATATTCCTCCTTATAATTAGCAGTACACTTCTTGGTATGCGAGGATGCCTAGGCGCTACTGTGGCTATAACCTCAAAGCTATTTTAAATGTGAGAATAAGACAAAAAATCATGAGAAAGAACCTGCGTTCCCGCTACACAATGTGAATGGGGCTTTAAAGAGGAGCTCCACCCAAAAGGGGAAGTTCCACTTTAAGTCTTTGTTCCCTGCTCCCCATTAAGGATTAGCACCTTTGGGGAGCGGGTACTCGAATTTGACAGGTACCCGCTGCGATCGCCTAGGCGATCGGAAGAGGAAGTTGTCCTCCCCCTCCCTCCCCGTAGTCTTCTGGGACACGTGACAGGTCCCAGAAGACTATGGGGCCATTCGCAAAGCACAGTGGGCCCCCCGGCTGTAAAGCCGCAAGCTGTCATAGCCGGGTGCCCACACTGAAGATGCCGGCGCCAGGGAGAGAAGATGACCGGTTAAACCAGTGGTGGTGAGTACACCACTGGACCAAGGGACAGGTAAGTGGCTGTATTTTAAAAGTCAGCAGCTAGTTTTTGTAGCTGCTTTTTTTTTTCCCCCCCAGGTGGAACTCCGTTTTAAAGGCACTGTCCCTGGTTGCTAATCTGAGGAAATTTGGACTAATATGGTGACGTACTGCTGTTCTCCCTGTGGGAAGCTCAGACTGAGAAAGTAAAACCTTGCCTCTACAAAGAGACGAAAGTGCAGCATGAGGCCCAATAACCAGTCATATGTCACGTGTGACTTTAAGCACAGCTTGCAGGATTAAGATTCCTCTCTATCATTACCTAGTGAATTATAAAAATTAAAAAAAATACAATTTTGCATATTACTTGCCTGCATCTAAAATCGATGAACAAGCAGCCATAAATCTTAAATTTACAATTAAACTGAAACAGTAGCAAATATAAATTTAAAAAAAAAAAAACCACACTGAGTTAATACTTACACATGAAATATGAAATGGTCCAAAACTTAAAGGCTGCTCTCCAAAGTTGGGATAATATCGCTCACATTTCTTCTGCAAAACAAATTAAAAAAAAAAAAAAAAAAAAAAAATGTATATGCGAGTGTACCTGTACAAATAAAGTCAATACACAGATTTGCAGTGGCAAACTTTCTAAAGTCACTGTAATTCTTTGACAAAAATAAAGAGCTTCTATAAAACGTAGGAAATCACTATGAGGACTTTTATTGTGTTCCATAACACCAGCACCACCAGCGCTTGTGATATCAATTCAAAGTGATGACCATATAGCCAGAGATATATCTTGTTTACACTTTCTACATTTAAAATAAACTCCAAAAAAATATACATACCATAAGGCCTCCTGCACACTACTCAGTACAGCTTTTTTTTTTTTTTTTTTTTTTTTTTTTTTTACTGATCTAAAAGGCAGTCCATTGTTTATAATATGCCTGTATACAGGCGCACAAACAAGCGCTGTGGATTCTCGGAGGAAAAAAAAAAAAAAAAAAAAAAAACCACAACGATGGATTTTGCCTAAGAAAGTACTGTATGGACGAACGTGCAATTGTGCGCAAATATGTGCATGAAAATGCGCAAAATATACCTGAAACTACATCCAGAAATGCTAATGCTCAAACAGTACCATGTGCAAGAGGCATAAAAGGAAGCTTCACACTGCTGTCCGTTAACCGGTTGATGCCGACAGTACGCAAATATGTGGCCTCTCGGCGGCTGGGCCTCGATTCTGAGCGGCTGCATATTTGCGTACCAAACGTAAACAAACGTTTCAAGAGCTCGCCTTCGTGCTTCCAGCAGATTTACCGGCACCTCACGGAAAGGTCCTGTTCACTACTTGCGATCGGGACCTTTCCAATCATGTGACCGGTGTGACAACCAATCGCAGCGGTCACGTGACCCTAAACCTCAAGTCAAACCCCTTAAAGGGCTGGGAGGCTCCATGGTCAAGGGTTAATCAAAAGATTTCAAAATTTTTATTTGATTTCGGGTCCCTGTATTAATTTGGATAAGATTGTCGCTCTGGATATTACTCTGGCCTTGGATTTGGTTTCGCGCCTGCAATCCCACTTCCCTTACAAATGGGCATCCTCTTCACTGGAATACTTGGACATTCACTTGACCCCCACCTATGGCTCGGTTTGCTGCAAATTATTATCCATTGCTTCGCTCTGTGTCCTCCCTTATGCAGTTTTGGCAATTCCCGCACCTGTCCTGCATAAGACGGGTTAATTCGGTGAAAATGACTATCCTGCCTGATCATGTCTACAAACCCGTCTACCTTGCTGCTGAACTGGGATGCTAACAGATCTATCTCTGGCGTGGCCCAGGAGGTGACAGGTGGGCCGGAACACTTCAGGCTGAGGGGACCATTCCCTCACATCCAGGTGCCGACAACTGAAAAGGTCTGCTTGCAAACTGTCTACTCCAGCAAAGTGGATAAAGGTTGGAATGTGCTAGAATGAGATCAACTTCTCAGAAGGGCACAGAGTCTTCACACTGTGTGAGCCTGGGGGAAGGTAAATAAAAAAATAAATAAATCAGGATATGTGAACTACACATCCATAGTGTCTTAATGCCACCTATTGGGAAGGGGGGGGGGGGCTTTAGAACTGTATACAGGTAGTAAAGTTGCTGTAGGGCAGTGTGGAGGACCCTCAATCTCATAGGCGAGGAGGGAAAGTTGGATGAAATAAAATATGTTGTAGGGAGCAACCCTCCAGTTTGGGAAACTACGACCCTGACCCATAGATCTGAAATGCACCATCCCTAGTCCAGGCATTCGAAAAAACAAAAAAAGCTGTCCCCCTACTTGTAACTGAGGGTACCCCTTCACTAGGAGGTCTTGGCTGACTTGGACAGGATCCAGCCACAGAACTGAACAGATTTGGCTTTTGAAGCAGATGGCTAAAGAGCATTCTCTTCACTATAACCACCAGACTTTGCCGTGGGCACCTTAGGTTTTTCAGGTGTTTTTTGCCCATGCAACTGCCTATCCTCCCAAGAAGAGTTCCCAGATTCGGAGGATTCACTAACCCCTGCTGCTGCATCACACAAGCTGCACAATGACTTAGCAGGGGTTGCTGATAGCGCAAAGGAGGGTTATCAGGTTTGCCAATGCAAATATTTATCTATACTTCCTGTCTCATAGCCAAACAGGAAGTGAGAGGATAGCCCTTAAACTTAAGGGAATTCTTTGGGGACCTCCAGGTCACCAGGACTAGTGTCCCAATTAGAAGATTTTTCCTCTATTACTTTTCTGGGGACAACCCAAAATTTTAGATTTTTTTTACTTTCACCTTCAATGATATTGGTAAACAGGACAAAGAGGGTGAATCCCCCCAATGAGGATACTGAATGCAATAAAAACTGACAGGAGTTCTAATCCATCTCCACATTATCAAAAAAAAAGTTTTGCCTTTAGTTAAACCTTATGCTCCTAAAGGGGATGAAGTCAAAAATTCTTTTAAATTGCAAGCACTGTAAATGGACTTTTTTTTACATCACACAGCACAAGTGTACAGAAAAGGTCATAACCATTATATATTTTACGAAGTCTTAAGGCTGACCTCCACATAAAGTGAAAGTTACCCTCCCAACTGTGGAACCTACATACTCTACAGCTCCTTTTACACTAGTGGTAATATTTACCACCCCTCTGAAAAAACAATCTGCAGTGGATCACTTCAGAGGGCAGTGGAAGAAGGTTATCAGGCATTCAAGAGGCGATATTGCCGCTTTCACTTACATTATTCCTAAGGCCTAGTTCACAATGGCATTGAAAGCAGGCGTTTGAGGGTTTTTTTTTTTTTTTAATGCTACTCAAACGCCTATGCAAATGATACTATGGACAGCACACAGTTCTGTTCACATTATCAAAACATGAGTTAGCGCCACGTCACTTCAAAATTAAAGGCTCACGTTGAGTCTGAAGAAGTTTGAAGCCTTTCTACACCTCCCATTCAAGTCTATTTTGATGCTCTGAAAATACGCTGACAGGTGTTTGCAGTGCAGTTGCTGCACAGTAATATTACAGGCTATTATAGGTGATTGAGGTCCAGTTTTAAAACACGTCAACACCGCACATAGGGCATTTGGGGAGCGGTTTTAACGCTAGTAAAACACCAGTCTAACACCAATATTAACATTTTAGGAGCATTTAAGCATTAGAAATTTAGTCAAGTGTGAACAAGCCCTAATAGTAGCAAATGTTTACCACAATATGGACAAATAGAAATATCTGAAAACATTGACAAGTTTTAATTTTCTTCACATTTAAATCTTAATTGTAAATAAAACCACCCCGCATAACGTTTGACCCAAGTATGTACAAAGAACTAGGGTAATGCTTTCACAGTACACAAATCTATAGTATTCACCCAAATTAGGCACTGCCTACATATTTCAGATTTATAAATCGTGCCTAATGGAAATACTGCATTAATACTTAACCCCATGGGATATGCAAGTAAATACAATACATCTCATGCTAATATTATCCATGGACATACCCGTCCCATTTCAAATTCACGACAGGCCATAACAATTATCTGCAGGGAGAAGAAGAAAAAAAAAAAAAAAAAAAAACTTAATTAGCACAAGAAATTAGTTCTTAACTACTACAGAGTTAAAAATCACTGCTCTTAATATCTGTGTACATTTCCACTTTTCAACATGTACCACATACTGTATAACAAGCTGATTTACTAAGGGAGCTGAGAATCATGACAATACATTTTAAAAGAGTCACTTCAAATTAACAAATCATGTGAAAAGCAAATTTCTCGCTCTTTTTCTCAACTACTTTAGTAAATCAACCACTTAATCAGTTTACAAAAATTGCCAATAATAAAGAAGACCCTGCACTAGAATGCATGGTCCACATATTCAACCTTGTTGGCGCTTTGCCACTTTTGTAACAGCCTGGCATTTGAGCATATAGGGGACAACAAAAGCTGTTGCAGCTATGTGCGCAACACCTGTAAGTGCTTGAACTTTATCTCAGCCAGCAGTCTTATTTCTACAAAGTGACAGGCCTGTCTAAAAGTACAGTTTTGACAAACCCGCTGAATGCCGCAGAAATTTCATCAGAACTTTAACTTATCCTGTTCTAATCTGAAATTAAGAAATTTTAAGTGGAAATAGAATGCCATCTTTAGGGTCCACTCACATCAGGTGCTCTGAGCCGCATTGATCCACAAAGGCTCAGTGCTAGGACACGAAGAACACATCTTAAGTGTACAGTACAAAACACAGGCTTGATAGTCATTTATAAATGTGAAAAGCTCCGCGCCAAAGACATAATTATGCAGCTGCAGTCACTAAACTCACTATGGAGTGTGCAAAGAAACAAAATGTGTATGACCACGCTCAAAATCTCAAGTGATGACCTAAAACAAGAAATGCTATGGAGAATTCCTGTTTTTTAACATGTTGGCAAATGGTCTGGAACTGTGAGGACCTAGGAGGTCCCCGAGTAATGAACATGAAGGGTGAGCAATAAGGCAAACAGAACTATGCCAACAAGCCCAATAACGGTAAAGATCTAACCCAACAAGATCCTTGCAGCTGAAAGCTGCATCTTCACAATACTGGCTGTCCACCTGGTAAAACTTTGAAAAAGTATAAACATGTGACAGCCTTACAAAGCTGGGCAACAGAGGGTTGATCCCGAAATGCCCAGGAAACACCTACTGATCATGTAGAGTGAGCGCACACATGAATGTGATTAGTAAGAGCCCTTTCTGGTCCTCAAGACTTTGGCTCCAACAGCCATGCTAAGATACAGGATGGAAAGTGGACCTTGGAGAAAAAAAAAAAAAAAAACAGGTCAGGCCTCTTTGGAAGAGGCCAAGGGTTGTCTCCTAGAAATTGGCGTATGTTTGTATAAAAGTTTCTTCTGGGCCAGCTTGTTGCAATAAAAATCACCAGTTTACTCTTCTGCAGAGCAGTCAAGGAATTATCACTGGAAGAAAAGCATAGATTAGTCTGAATGAAGTCCATATAATTAGAAGAGTATGCCAGTTGTAGAGGATCCTTGGTCCTGGCAACAAACAGATGTAACTTGTTAAACCCGAAGGCCAAGATAAACATGTCTGGAGTCCCCCCATCATTGACATATCAGATTGAAGATGTTGAGATGAAAGAGCCCATTCCTCTTGGTCCAGGTGGCAACGACTGATGTAATCAGCCTTCCAATTGTCCACTCCTGGGACGCGGCATCAGAGAAGAGATATTAGCCTTGCTTCCTTCAAGACTGCATGACTCCTGGTGCCCTCTCAGTGACTGACGTAGGTCACAGTAGTGACATTGTCCGATTGCACCCCGATAGTGTGTCTGAAGAAGGGGGTTCCAATGTTGGCAAGCATTTTTATTGTTCTGAGCACCAAGATGTAAATAGGGAGCTTGGCTTCTTTGGGTGACCAGGTTTTGCAAACTGAGTGATTGGAACACACCTTCCAGTGGTATGGTAGAAATTACCTTCTGCTTTGAAAAGGCTGGGTTGGAAACAGACCAAGCTAGGGAGTTCTTTGCTTGATTGGATAGGAGCATAGGCAGGCTAGAGTGTGCTGAAGGGGCCCTGAAAAGAACTGTGCAAAATGTAATAGCCTAGAAGGAGGCCACCATAAGGCCCAGACAAGGAGAATCTCACAGAAATGCTTCTTGATCTCAAGGTTCAAGCATGATGGGAAAAGCCAGTTTGTATTTTTGAAGATTTGATTGGGTTGTGTCTAGAATGAGACTCGAGTACTCCAATTGAAGGGAAAGGTGAAGAGACTATTACTGAAAATTGATTACCCAAATGAAAGCCTAAATGTATCTGAAATGTCCTGTGGACTTTTACAGATAGCTGGAAGCGAGAGGAGTCCTTCAGAAGCAGGTCATCTAGATAAAGCCTGTGAACTGAATGCTCGGAGTTCTTGACTGCAAGAAGGGGTGCAAGTACCTTTGTGAATACTCGAGGAGCAGAATACAGGCAAGATACAGTGAAAAAAAAAATGAAAATGTTTGCCTCCTACTCCAAAGCACAGAAAGTGCTGATAAGGTGAGTAAATGGGAATATGCGGATAAGCATATTACATTTCTACAGATGCCAGGTATTCCCCTCATCTCAGAGATGCAATGACAGACCCTGCAAATGCCATACTGAACTTTGGAACTTTAAGGCACTTTGGGAATTGAGGTCCAGGATAGAAGGACTATCTCTGATTGAAGACTGAACCCATGTCTGGGACCCAGAAAAAGCAAAATGACTTCCCACTCTTAGGAGGGCGCCTGTTCATTGGGAAGAGGGCTTTGGGACAGACTTGGTGGGTTTTGTTTTCCAAGTCTTGCACTGAGAGAAAAAAGGGTGATTTTGGCTTAGCAGCTGAAGCTTGCAAAGTTGGTAAAGTGCTTTGCATTTTGATGCGATAGAAACCCCTTAAGAAGGGGATTTTGAAACCTTCCACTTTGGAAGAAGAACAACCTTTCCTTCTGTTGCATATGTGAAGTGCCCCACCAAAGAAATATCCTCCTTCAAAGAGCATTTTTGTGAGGTATCTTTTACAAGCAGCTTCAGCTGACCAGGCTCTGAGGCACATTATTCTGCACATGTGGAGAAAAATCAGAGCCATTCTGATCTGTGTCATGGCTTGTTCTAGGGGGATCAACACAAAAGAGCAAAACATAAGGTAACTGGCTCCATCAAAGTACAACCCTGGAATATAGGATAGTGTTGATTGTTCCCTAAACCAATTAGCTACAGAAAAACACAGCACCCGCTGGTTGCAGAGCTGGGCCTGCAAAAAGTAAAAACAGCCTTTAAAAGTGCAATTCTAGTCAAACACTAATTAAGCCTTAACTTACTTTCACCACTATTCTAAGCACCTTGTAAAGGAAAAGTCTACACATGTGTCTATGCTGAGGGCGCTCATGTCTGGTCACGCGCTCTCTTCAGTGGCTGGCTTTAGTGTAGAGGAGATCGCCAACAACAGCTGCAGAGCTTGGGATAGGACATCACCATTAGGTTTACAACTCTTACTCCTCTACACTGAAGCTGACATTGGGACCCGATCATGTGACCAGACTAGAGCATTCACAGCATAGGCAAATATGGACATCTTTCAATTACAGGGTAGTTAGAATAGGCTTTGAATAGGGGTGGGATTCAGTTTAGGCTTAATACAAAAGTTTGAGAGACTCTTAAAAATTGTACTTCCAATTAGATACTGACAGCAGAATCTTTGAAAGGAGAATCATGTTCTATAGGTACAGCAAGTGGTTTAAGACTGAAACAGCGGGGTCTACTAACAGAACAAACCAGTTTTTTTGCGAATGGTTATTCCACTGGATAAAGCTTGGCAACGATTCTTTTAAGGATAAAAATTGTTTCTGAATTTACTCAATCTTCATAGAATGTTCTATTTTAATTGTTCATGAACAGAGGATGTAATTTTAGATGTGGCAGGTCTCTTACTTTTTTTCCATCTTGCCATGGCCCTTTGGGTACCTATCAAGTGTGGCAATGCTCAGGCTTTTGCACATGGCAGAAGTGAGCACATCAACATTGGTATGCATACTGTGTGAAGCTGTAACATCATCACGTATATAGGAGCCTGGAGGAGAGAAATTTTCAGTGGCCTCCTAACAACGCTTCAACAGCCCTCTACATTTACCTCTTAAAAAGCAGGCATATCAGGATCAGTCTCGTGTAGAGACAGTGGGGATGGAGAAGGAGCCTGGTGTTTTTAAGTCCTAAACAATGATGGCTGTAATCAAACCATTCGTTGCCCAAGAATTGTGAATGTACTCTAAGACTGACTTTTTTTCTGCATCTGTTTCACACCAGCCGCTACATTACAATGCAGCAGCTGGTGTGTGTTGCAGTGCAGGCAATGCTGATGCAACGCTTTTGGCACGTTGCACTGTTCACTTTTTTCTATTTAAATGAACTATAGGAATGTCACACAGCAACATTTTAAACGTTCTATCGGCTGGCGTGCGGTGCCTGTGCTGCACTGGAAAATGTAAAGCACACAGAAATTTTTTTCATCGCAAACTGCCCACACACCACAATGTATTCATGTGGATTGGCCACACCAGAGACAAAGCATTTTGCCTGGTCTTGCAGTGAGGGTGCATTGGAACTGCAGTGTAATAGCCGCTCAACACAGTCCATTCACACCTGGTGTGAATGTACCACTCGGGCAGGCTTGCATGCCTGAGACAGTTAGAATGGAATACAGAGCAAGGTGTTAAAATAAATTCATGGTCTGGTGCAAGGGAAGCATAGTCACCAAGTGGTCCGAGTATTTTGCAGGCCTTTGGTAAAGCAGGGAACTCTGGATTGATGGCGCATTCACTGTCCGCTCAATTCGAGAGCGGCACACATGCCTTGGAGACATCACCGGCTGCAAAACATGTGAATGACATCTAAATGGAAAAAAGTACACCAAGGATCACCAATATGGGTACAAAGGTTTTAATGAAAGATCACATAGTTACAGCAAGGCGATGTTTCGGAGTCACGCAGGACCCCTTCATCAGGCATGTGACAAATTGTGATAGAAACTGGAGAACTATTTAAGAAAACCATCCACCAATCAGAGTGAAGTGAAATGAGCTTGGCCCTACCCCATGATGTCATGTTCCCTCCAAAATGCATTCAAATCAATGTAAACAGAAACATTACAAACCGCGAAAATAAATCAAAATCAGATGTGCATAAACTTAATTCCTGGGGATATAAACATCGTGGTCACATGTGTATGCAGCGCTGGATTCTGGAAACAAAGACCAGGAGCATATATGTCCCTGACAGAAGATAAAGACTGTTGTCTAGAGATGTGGGGGGGGGGGGTCTCCCCCCATTGGTTTGTGTGGCGTGGGCGCCATGTGTTTCTATGACACCGGTGACTTGCCTCCGCCTTGTCCTTCCCGGCGCCGATGTCATGGGTTTCCATGATAATGGCGACCAGTGCAGAATGTCTTTGAGCGCACGCGTGAGTATTAAACTCTCACGGTGCATGCAAGTGACATGCGGCGCTATGAAACGGTCGGCTGCTGCACTAATAGGACCACTGTCAGTGTGTCCCCATTGCAGCTCACTTGGCAATCGGAGACACCCCCCCCCCCCCCCCCACATCTCTAGGAAACAGTCTTTATCTTCTGTCAGGGACATATATGCTGCTGGTCGTTGTTTCCAGAATCCAGCGCTGCTTTCAGCTGACACTTTATTACAATCCGGGGAGTACCATGATACACATGTGTCCACAATGTTTATATCCCTGGGAATATAGTTTATGCACATCTGATTGTTTTATTTATTTTTGCAGTTTGTAATGTTTGTTTACATGGATTTGAATGCATTTTGGAGGGAACATGACATGGGGCAGGACCAAGCTCATTTCACTTCACTCTGATTGGTGGATGGTTTTCTTAAATAGTTCTCCAATTTCTATCACAATTTGTCACATGCCTGATGAAGGGGTCCTGCGAGACTCCAAAACGTTGCCTTGCTGTAACTATGTGATCTTTCATTAAAACCTTTGGACCCATATTGGTGATCCTTGGTGTGCTGGTGACATTTTTCCTTGCCGATTTTGTTCGGTTCCAGCCGACAGTCCCTGCAGCACCCACTTATACAAACAGCCATTTTTAACGCAGGAACGTGTGCGTTTGGACTATACACTTGACATCTAAATGGTGCACATTTAGGAGATATTCATTTTACCTATAGGTAAAGTTGGTTTTCACTTTTACCTACAAGTAAACTTATAAAGCGGAGTTAACTACCGCTTTACGATACAATTGCTCTTAATGTGCCAACACCATATGCATGTGGTGCTGTGTGTTGTGTCAAAATGCAGCATATCTGTATTTTCAGCCAACACGTCACTGCATGTCATTGCACTACCGTGCAAAGCGTGCTTATGAATAAAGCCAAAGTATGTCAAATGTAATAAGTTGGGGGGGGGGGGAGAAGCCAGTGCATCACCCTTCACAACACTTGCATCACATGCACAGACTACTGTAAACCTGGCCTTTATTTAAATATGGTCCAGGCTGGAAATGAAACTACATCTGCACCCAAGTTCTTTTTGGACAGTCTATGTATGGATTGGCCTGGAGCAAATGTTATAGGCAACGCTTTAATGCGAACCTATGCATTTCCAATGCTGGGTAAAAAGTAGTTTTGCTTTATTGTTTTTTTTTCATTAGGAGAAATAAAATAGCTAAGCAGACATACTTACTCCAACACTGTACTCCCAGATCATTCTCCAGAAATCTACTACAGTATTAGATAGTGGTCCCTGGGTTGCTATATATGCTTTAGGTCCATACACACCCTAGGGGGAGAAAAAAAAAAAGAAAAAAAAAAAAAAAAAAAAAACACGAAAAGTCAATTCACATTTTATTTCAGTCTCAATACAACAGTACGCATACATACAGTTAAGAGAACATTTGAAACATCAAAAATGTAGCATTAAAATGCGATACATGCTCATGCAGTATATTCTTTCCAACAGTATCATTTTATTTTAATTAACGAAAATGTTATACTTACCTGCTCTGAGCAAGATTGCACAGAACAGGTCCGTTGCATCATTTTTGGCGGTATCTCGCCAGCGCTCTCCATTCAATCTTTCAGCAAGTGCCTCTATAGCAAGCTGTGTGCTATGGTGACACAATGCAGCTCGGCCACACCCCCTGCTCCCTCCTCAAAGGATTTGACTGACAGCAGCAGGAACCTATGGCTCTGCTGCTACATGTGTCTCCTGTGAGACCAACAAGTGGAAAAACGTTACTGATCCAAACCTCAAATGAAAAAAAAAAAAAAAGCCTCAAGTAGCGCCTCTCAACCTTTCTGCCCCAGAATACACCATTAAAATAACATTTCATGTATTAAAACCCTGCCAAAACCAGTTCATTAGTGGTCAGTGAGATAAATGCCCTTTATAATATCATTGGTGTTATGCAGCTGACTCTGCCATGTAGCATTGCCCCTAGATCTAAGCATGCACAATCAAAATGGGAGTTTAATCTACAGCTCAAGCAACCCCTAGCAACCTCTGGAGGATCCAGAGTTGAGAATGACTGCCCTAGAGAGATGTTTAGACAAACCTCAAAAAGATGATACGGATTGGTCAGCAAGGAAGGCCCCAGCAAAACACTTCTAACTTTCAGGATTTAGAAAAAAAAAAGAGCATAATATAAGGTTGCCCAAAGCAACAGCGGATCTCACAAATAAATACATCACACAGCATATTAAGCTCAATGGACAGACAAAATGACCCCCAAGACTGACAGCCTAGGGATCCCAAGCCTAAAGTCAACCCATAGGGAGGGTAGGATGAACAAGTTGTACCCATATAAATAGGTAGGCAGGAACAAGAGTAAACCACAACGAAGACTGGGGCATCTGAACACCAGAACAAGAAAGGGAAGAGTAGGACTTCTTCCAACCAAACACCCAGTAGTATACCAGACAATGATAGAATGCTGCAGGTCTGCTTAAACCTCAAACAGAACACAATTTTAAGAATCATCTAGCCAACCATGGATAAATGCAGCAGGGTTATGATTCTTAGTCATGATATTAAATATATCCACCTACCACTCACCAGGAAAATGAGAGGAAACTGAAGGAACTTTCTCAAGAGGAAGCAGATCTGCTACCAAAGGGAGGACTTATCTCCCAATGACTAGGTACCATGAAGGCCTCACTTGCACTATCCCTCAAAGAGAATTTCTGCACAAGGGTCCCAGCGAGATCTGCCTTCTGGTAGTCCAGGGGAGTACAGGGCCAACCAGCAAGTAGCGCAACTATAGCCAAGGACACAGAACGTCTAGAAAATATAGGGTACTAAAGTTTGTCGCCATTTCACAAGAGCACATAAATTCAAGGTTTGACATGTTGGATATTTACTCAGTGCAACCTCATCTTTTATAGTTTACTGAGATTTTGAGTTTCCAACATTTTGTGTTCTAGGGCTTCTGCTTTTCAGAAAATATATAAGGTTTTGGAGGTGTTAAACATGTTAAAAAAAAAAAAAAAAAAACCACGGGCTCTGGCAGCAAAAAGGATCAAGGATCCTGACACTTCCTTTCCTGACTACCACCCAATCTGTGCTCATCACACTGCAAGATCTCTCCCCTCTGGTGCTGGAGACAGGCAGGGAGGATGAGATAAACAGCGCAATGTTAACATTATTACACGATAAAAGTCACCATAAAGCCCCTTTGTTTTTAAAAGCCCCAGACATTCCTAAAATAACCTTCAATTTAAATATGGTTTTGGTTAAAATACATATATTTTTTTTCTGGACAAGTAGATTGTCATGAGAAACAAGTAGATTGGGACCCCGATTTTGTCCCTGGACAAGTAGTTTTTTCGAAAATGTCCACACCCCTGCCTTGTATAATTGTACCAAGAAAATTATAAATGTGACCCTAGGGAAATCTGAGGATCAGTCTACCAACTCTAAAATTTCAATTTAATGTCAGGATCTAATAAACCATTTAGAAACATTAGGTGTTAGTCTTACAAACAAAAAACGTTAAAAAGTTGCTTTATGACATCGTCAAGAACTTAAAATGATCGAGTATAAACCACTTCTAACTACTCTAAAACAAGATGATGAAAGGAAATTCTGAATTAATAATCTGACTAAAACTTCTAAGGGAGTCCCTAACCACACCAAATGTTTCTTTTTGGTGATTTTATCCCCTATAGTACTATTTAACTGTGGGCTTTCAATATAATATAAGCATATGAGCCCATGCTTGGCTGAAAACGTCAATGAATATTTCACACACCATACTTAAAGAGAAAGCCTTTTCATTACATTACATTACATTGAGTTTATATAGCGCCAAAGGGTTTGCTCAGCGCTGTACAATAGAGGGGGGGACAATACATGAAACATTACAGCAACTACAAACAGCACACGAGGGGTTATAGGGCCCTACTCTTTCGAGCTTACAATCTAGGAGGGAGGGGGTAGTGGTACAGGAGGAAGTGGCTGTGGGGGATGGAGTGGTAGGAGGAATGAAGGAGAGCAGCAGTTAGGTGAGGGTGGGGTAGGCTTCCCTGAAGAGGTGGGTTTTCAGGGAGCGCCTGAAGGTGAGGAGGGAAGGTGACAGTCTGATGGATTGGGGTAGTGAGTTCCAGAGGATGGGGGAGGACCTGGAGAAGTCTTGCAGACGTGCGTGTGAGGAGGAGACCAGGGAGCAAGATAGAAGGAGGTCCTGTGAAGAGCGAAGGGTACGGGTAGGGTGGTACTTGGGAATCAGGTTGGTGAGGTAGTTAGGGGCAGTGTTGTGAATGGCTTTGTAGGTCAGAGTGAGTAGTTTGAATTTGATGCGTTGGGCGATAGGGAGCCAGTGGAGGGAGAGGCAGAGCGGGGTGGCAGAGGTGGAGCGGGTGGTGAGGTGGATGAGTCTAGCCGCTGAGTTGAGGATGGTCTGAAGCGGGGAGAGCCTGCACTGGGGTAGGCCGGTGAGGAGGGAGTTGCAGTAGTCAAGGCGTGAGATAATCAGGGAGTGCACAAGTAGTTTAGTGGTGTCTGGGGTAAGGAAGGAGCGTATTTTGGCGATATTGCGGAGGTGGAGTCTGCATGTGTTTGTGAGTGATTTGACATGAGGTTGGAAGGAGAGGTTAGAGTCCAGAATGACTCCAAGGACTTTGGCTTGCGGGGCGGGATTGATGGTGGTGATGTTAGTAGTGATGGATAGGATGGGGGGGGGGGGGGGGCGGGGCAGGAGGGAAGACGAGAAGCTCGGTTTTGGAGAGGTTGAGTTTGAGGAAATAGATATAAGATCTTGCCAAATCCAATCTGTTTCTTCATGAATGGTTAAAACCCCTATATTTTATCTTAAAGCCATACTGTTATGCAAGATTTAAAGGGGTACTCCTTAATCCAGTGTTAACTACACAGACTAAAGTCCATGTGTCATTTGTTCAGTCTGTTACTGAATTACTTTGTTAAACTCAGACATAGCAAAAGCCTAAAGCTCAACCTTTATCCTGATCAGACAGGTGCATTTATCAGAAGAGCACTGGTGGCAGCTCACAATACCACAGGGCTCGACAAATCTCAGGCACCAGGTCGGCATGGCAACTAGAGATTGCATCCTCACGCCTGGGTTCAAACACTGCCTCCCATAGACTTCAATGCAAAGTCGCCTCCCGTTGACTTCACATAAAATTGCTATTGACAGGAGTTTATGCATTGAACACTCCAAATGCCACTCTACTCTATCACTTGAGAGTCTGGAATGCACCGCTACAAACTTGCACATGGCCCTTTTCATAATGGCACTCAAAACACAATCTGTGTAGATTGAATCAGTGTGAACCACCTCAATAAAGACAATATCTAGCCTGTCATGCAAACCTATGAGTTTGAAAACACATCCAGAATCACATATCTGAACCAGGGCGTTTTGGGATTGAGGCTGAATCGCTGTGATCACAAAACACAAGTTCAGGTGCCATTATTTTCAAACACTCCTAAAAAGTGGTGCTGTTTTGCCGTGATTGTCAAGCGGCAAACCGTATTGCGTGAAGACAGTCGACCAAAAAAGTTGCCTTGCCCCAGGTGCAGACAACTCGCACAAAGTTTAAAAAAAATAAAAAAAATAAAAAAACTGGCTCCTAACTTTATCTGACTTCTAGATTCAAGCCCTGCAATACCCAGTGGGACTGAATGTTACAATTATTCACTTTGTATATGTGCAGCATTATTACTCAGGTGTTGTCAAATTTAATGTACTTAATTTATGCACAGTCCACATACTTTGTTTCATACAAGTAAACTTCTCCTGCCTGTCTGGGCCTCGTAACAAACATCCCACTCTTTAAGCATAATTACCTGAACCAAACTGCTGCCTTCTGCAACATTTATAGCCTTTTGACAAAATCTTTTTGCCACTGGCTGCATCTGTGCAGTGGATTCTCAGATTTCTATAGGTCATCTCCCAATACAAGAGACATCAAGCCTTGAAACAGCTATTGCGCCATAGACCAGAATGCTAGCCACATCAAAAACATGAACGTTTGAGATGCTGTGCTGCCATTTTTGTGATGCTAGCATCCCTATCCGGTAGCAGATCCGTGAGCTAGACTACAGCAGCACCACAGTACAGTCAACACTAGGTTGAGGCATATTACCAGCATGCAGACTGGACAGAAGCACAATAAAGCTATTACTTTGCTCTAACCTCTCTCAGCATGTTCTTTGTCAATACATGTGCATGCAGCATAGCCCAACTGGTTTCTAATTTAAGCTCACCTGCCCCAGTCTGAGTTCTGTTGTACAGAAAATGACAAAAAGCAAATAAAAAAGGGCAAAACCACCAAAAGTGAAAAGATAACCAATTTGAACGGACAGGTCGTCATGCAATGTTCAAAATGACCACTTTTTAAAACATGCATATTAGGTTAAATTTAAATTAGTATGTGCTAAAACAGGGACACCATTTCTCATGGATGTTAACCCAGAAAAGAAAAATTATGCTACTTTGAGCATATGATCACCAAAAATGGAAAAAACAAAGATTGTAAAAATAATGGCTAGTCTGAAAGATCTCCATTTCTGCGGACACAGCAGAATGAAGATCCCGGTGAACGGGACCCAGTGATCATGTGATCGCTATGCGACCACATGATCACAATGTAAGCAATCTCATTCATAACAGCTCTGCTCCTCTTCCTAGTGAGCGGTGATTGGCCCACAGCTGTCACATGATAAATGAGGTCAATCACAGTACCCTGTGCCATGTGACTAGCTCCAGCCAATCACAGATCACTATCCTGTCAAATCTTAACTCACTCATGACAATTCACGAATGAGTTAGGTTCAGGTCAGCAAGCTTTGCATTGCAGGGGAAATGACCTTTATTTATTCTGCAGAGCGCAAGTTTTTTTTTTTTTACTACTTGCCAACTGCTTACCCGCATTTTGCGGGCGAGCAGCAGCTCTTGGCAATGCAACGTAATCTTTCGTCACTTCCTATTTTGGGGTGTGAACGCACCTGCGTTCTCCCCCCCCCCCAGTCCAGGGAGAGAAGAGAGAACATAGCACCAAGTAAAAGCACTACATTTTACACACACAGTTAGATTAGCAAATTTATCCCTTTGATCTCACCTATTAGCCCTTTGATCACCCCATCACCCAGCCAGTGCCATTAGTACAGTGTCCACATATAGAATTTTTCACTGATCACTGTATTACTGCCACTAGCGACATCAGATAGTGCCAGGGTCAGTTAGCGCCTGTCCCAACCAGGGTCAACTAGCGTTAGATTGCCTGTACACTATCGCACTCACGCTATAGGTCACTGATCACCACCATTACTAGTATAGTGTTCACAATATTGATCATGAACAGAACTACACTAGTGCTTCCTTTGTATAGTGTCCACAAAAATGCAGTGATAGCAACATCGGCCCCATTCGCTGCCAGCACTAGCGTTTAGCCCCTCCGCTGTTTTTCACGGAAGATTTGTATCAATTGATTGTAGGCCAAAGCAATTTATACATACAATATTTTGCAGCCCACCCAAATTCAGCTCTTGCCAGACCATGCACATGGAAACCTATCACCATTTCTGAATTTAAAACTTTTTTGGGCTAACCCTCAACATGGTCATTACAAAAAAAGAATGAATTGCAGTCATATTGAGACAATTCATTGTATGCCCTCTGCCGTTACATATATGCCCAACATGGAACAGCAATGTACTGGTACGTCACTGGACTTTGGGTGATTATACCGGGATGATGCTTGCAGTTACAAGCACCATTTTTTTTTCAGCTGGTGGTAGGCTTTCATGTAAAACCAATCCTAGTGGCCAATTAGCTGCTGAATTGTTTTTACGAGCAGTAGGAAGGAACATTTCCCCCCTCTCCAATCATCTCTATAGTCTAAGAAATCAGAAGCTACGAGCATTTCATCACTTCAGTTTCGCAGGATATAAACAGCACCATTTGTAAATTGGGAAAGCACGCCAATCTTGGTGAGATTAGATAATGTAAGGGCAGAGGAGATATCTAGAGTCTGATAGACCCCAGATTTCACAAAAAAGAATATAGGACAATGCCCATTGAAGTTATAGGGGATATTTGCATTCCCTGCAATAGCATTAAAAGTGATAAAAAAAAAACAAAAAAAACCACCACAAAGCACCCTTGCCCCCCTGCACAAGCGTTGACCCTGTGTAAACACCATGCATTTGAGGTAAACTGTAAAGGCTTTTAAAGCATCGCCTATCGATAATAAAAATGTATGTAATTTGTTGCCATTGCACGGGCCTGTGCAATTTTTGAGCATGACATGTTTGGTATCCATTTACTCAGCGTAACATCATCTTTATACTTTATCAAACAACTGGGCAATATACTGTGTTTTTGTGCATTAAAATTCTAAAAAGTGTATTTTTCCCCACAAACATTTTGCGTTTGAAAAATCGCTGCGCGAATACTGTGTGACATAAAAAACATTTCAACACCCACAGTTTTATTCTCTAGGACCTCTGCTTTATCCCCATAATCGAAAGTAGGAGAATGTGTTTTGGGGTGTAATTCTACATATACCCATGGCATGCATGAGCAGTATATCATTAAAGTGACAACTTTGTGGGGGGGGGGGGGGGGTCATATTCAAAAAATTTGTAGCAAAAAATAAAATGCTCCATGGACTCAACATGCCTCTCTGCAAAATCTTTGGGGTGTACTTTCCAAAAAGGTGTCATTTAGGGGGGGGGGGGGGGGTGTACTGCCCTGGCATTTTAGCACCTCAAGAAATGTGATAGGCAGTCAGAAAGTAAAAGCTACGTAAATTCCAATATATATATATATCATAGTTTGTGGACGCTATAAAACTTTCATACAAACCAATTAATATACATGTATTGGGATTTCTTTTTACCAAAGACATGTAGCAGAATACATTTTAGCCTACATTTATGACTGAGTTTATTGGATATTTTTTATACCCAAAAGTGAAAAATATCAATTTTTTTTTCAACAATTTCGGTCTTTTTTGTCTAAAGTGCAAAAAAAAAAAACAAAAAAAACAGCAGAGGTGGTCAAATACCACCAAAAGAAAGCCCTATGTGTGAAAAAAAGGACATAAATTTCATTTGGGTGCAGCGCTGTATGACTGCGCATATACCAGTTGAAATAGCTCAGTGCCGAACAGCAAAAAATGGCCTGGTCAGGAAGGGGGTAAATGGTTAAGGTATAATGATGTAAACAATGCTTTTATGGTACCATTTTACACCCCCTAAACAAAAAAACTAACTCGTGAATCTATTTTTTCTTATTACAGAAAAACGCAATAATCAACTTATAAATACCAACTCATACCTGAGTAATTATTTATCATATTTCCCTTTATGGCTATAGGTTAACCAATTTCAAGTGGCTACTTTCAGCAGGACAATGTACCATGTCATCAAGCACAGATATCTCAAGCTAGTTCCACAAACATGACAGTGTACTCCAACGGTCCATGCACACCAAGCGGCTGAAAAAAAATGCCAGAACCTCTTGTTTATTTGTCATTAGAGGCAAAAAACCCAAAAAAAAAGAAACACATTCCCCGCTGTTCATTTTTCACTATAAATCAATGTACACTTGAAAATTGAAAGTAAGGAGTGAAGAGCCGGCAACTGTTCCTTCCGAAGAATTACTTTACTACATTGAGTAGAATGTACAGGTAAAACTGGTTAAATGTTTCGGCAGTCAAATGTTTTCTGCCTGAAAAGCTCCTCCCAAAAATGCACTTGTGATGGGGGTTTTTTTTCCAGCCTGAAAATGCTTGTTAACAAATATGCCTGTAAGCCTGGGTTCACATAAATGCAGTGTGGTATATCGCATGTGATGCACACAGGAACCGCACTGCATTCCTGTGCAAATCAGATGCAATTTGTGTGCGGTGCAACTGGAGCCATACATTTTGTATGGCTCTAATTGCACCGCAATAAAAAAGGGGTTCGCATGAACTGGGTGCAATTCTGATGCGGTGCGGTATTCGCACAGAAACTGCGAATTCCGCACCGCATCAGTGTGAACCAGGGCTAAATGCCAAATTGTGCATGGACAAAAGGAAAGAGTGGCTTACACAGGCTGGAAAAAAAACAAAAAACAAAAAAAAAAAAAAAAAAAAACCAAAAGCCTATAAAAGCTGAATTTTTCATGGCCACCAGTGTGCATGGGGCCTAATAGACTACACAGTATCCAGAATTCAGATGTAAACAGATGTCTAAGTAAATAGGTATCCAAGAATCCCTCAGAGTTTTGGGATTACAATGTAGATTATTGGATTTCTTTGTCTAGTAAAATACATCTTAATAAATAGTAATGCAAATTTAATGGTGTAAAAGTAAAAATGAAAACCTCTTTAAAAAACGCTTGCATTTATATATTAGCTAGTGAAGAATAAAGCATGAAGGCAAGTGTATAAAATAGCCACAATTGGTAAAGGAACACCTTCACCAAGGTGAAATAGATCTCAGTTGTCACGATGCAAGATAGAATATCATGTATTAAAAAAACTATTCTCAAACTACATAAATATTTCATGTGTAACCTAGCTCTGTAATACAATACAATACAAGTCAGCAGAAAAGAAAACAACTTGATGAACAGTTAATGGAGATAAAGCTACTGGTTAAAGATAATATGCCGATGATGCATTTGTTTAGGTTTTCCCTTGCAAAAATTTTCACTTTCAAAGACAAAACAAAAAAAAAAAAATCACTTTACAAATATTACACATTAAAGTAATAAAAAGACATGTCATACCTTGATAAAATTTGCATTGATGTAATCTGATTCATAGGAAGGAATTTTCAGTGCAAGTTTTACTCTGCTGTGGTCAACTGTTAGGAGAAATAAATATATAGAATAAAACTGGAAACTAAAAATAAATAGCAAAAAACAAAAGGAAATATGACAGTGTATATGAATTACATCAATAGCATATGAGTATTTATATAAACAGGCTTATTGCTACAATAAAGTTTATTATTTCCAGGTCCCTGAGCTGTGTTCCTTAGAGACGTTGTGGGACTCAAGGGTTATTTGTCAGTCTTGGCAACATCAAACGATTCCACACAATATATCTTAAGTTTTGTAGTCTACCCAAACTTTTTTTTTTTTTTTTGTGGGACCCATGGAGCTTTAATTCATATGTGTGTGTGTGTATGTGTATGTATATGTATATGTATATGTGTATATATATATATATATATATATTTTTTTTTTTTTTTTTTTTTTTTTTTTTTTCCCTGTCATTTTTCCCAAAGCCAAATAGTATGATTAAAACAGAGCTCAACAAATCCCCCCCCCCACCTGTCACCAAACTTTTTTAGCTGGCTCCTAGATTCAAAGCAAATTTATCAAGCCTTGAAATAAAATGTCACATTAGCATGACTTTTATGAGTGGAATACAGAGTGGAATAGGAGAGCTTTATTCCCCTTTCAGCACTACACTGTGATGCACGTGGGGCAGGGTCAGTTTGCATAAATTGTAAGCATGCCATTAGGATACAACTGAGCTGGTTGAAAAGGAAACAAAAACAAAAAAAAAAAAAAAAACAACAAAAACAAACAACAACAGAAATTTTTTTCCAGGATTTTCACCAAAAATTCAAATGATGTTACAGTCACTTATGTGAGCATTTGATACTTGCACAATGGATGCAAATGGAATTCATTGCACCAAGGTGGTTTTTTTTACTTCATGCATGGAATGCATGAAGGTGAAGAACCTTCTGCCTTTAGAACCATTTTAAGCTGGCCACACACTTTCCGTCTAAATTTTTTGTTTTAAGAAAGTTTGTACAATTTTCAAATTGACAGTTGGGTCAAATCAACATTGATTTTTAACTGCAGTGACGAGAAAATTCAAAGGGACAGAACGGAAAATATTCTTTGAAAATAAAATTTTAACAGTGAGCGTGGTTTTCACTTAGGAAAGCCTATTCATACCAAAAATCAAATGTTAAAACACAAATGTAAATTTTGAAGATGACAACATTCATCAAGTCATCAAAAGTACTGACAATTTTCAGACGACTGTACGCACGTTTATTCGAAAGTCTACCAGTGTACAGCCAGCTACAGAGTGTCATCTTTAGTGACACCTTTGAGCCTGCTGACATATCCAAGATGGTGGCACCCAGCAGCAGTCTCGGGGAACAAAACATGCAAAAAATTATATGCACATAAAATCTTCTAGGAATAATTTTGTTTTAATTAATGGTCTAGTGACAGTTTTTTTTTGTGGAAGATTAAAAGCCACTGTCCTGTTTATTTTTTTTTTCAGCACCTGTGTCCTATCAAGGAGATTTCACTTTACTTTCTGTCCTGAAAAGGCAACAGGGAGTAAAATCCCCTCAATTGTCAAAGGAATAAGTGCCCATTGGAATATTTCTCATCTATTACTGTTGTAGCTTCAACTCAATATCAAATTCCCCTCATTTGTATTCCCAGTTACAATAGTAATTGGGGCAATCAGAAGAGTGAATCTTCCTAATGGGAATACAGAATGCAATAAAAACCTGGACAGGGGTTTATCCCCTCACCAATCAAAATGTAAAAATAAATAAATAAATAAATAAATAAAAAAAAACACATACAAGGAGATACAATGGTTTAGTAATAAAGAAATCACTTACACGGCAGAATATCTTTATATCTGTTCTTTTTAACATTTTCCTCTCTTTCTCCAGTGATTGTAGGGTAAATTTTTTCAGTTCTGTACTTGGTGGACAGTCGTCTTAACCTCTGAAATAAGGTAGAAATTTTTTTTTGTTAAAATGATATATTTCCCCATCACTAATGCAGTCACTACAAAGCTATAAAAAAGGACATTAATGCAAATTGGAACCCAAACTAAACGTTAAGTATTTTATTGGTACATCAAACTAAAATACATTTTAAAAGTCATACTTGATAAAAACATTATAGTCCCCCAAAGCAGTAACATTAGGATTATGTCGAAAAGCAATTACAGAACCAAAACATCACTACTAAAAAATTTAATTCCTTTGATCCCTCAGATCTAGAGATTGTCACAGTTCTCTGCAGTGAACATGCATGTGAAACCGTAATGCACTGGTATTATCGAGGTCAGAAATAACTCAGCTCTGAAAGATTTAAAAGGGCATTTCTACTTTGCAGCTTTGCAGGCAAATTGGGATAATACCTACGTTATATTTGTTATATGTCCACATTCACTTAGCATACAGCAATTATCTGAATACAAAACAAAAAAGTGAATATACATAAACCTGTTGAGCGTAAAGTTACACAATCACAAATATATTAATATAAATAGTAGAAAAAGTCCATCCACAGGTGAAGAAGTGCCCAATGGAAATCACACATGATCCCACCTGTGCTCCAACACAACGCACAGCCTCTAACCAGAGAGATCAGACCTCTAAAATAAAGTCGTAATACATGCAGACTAACCAGGATAACTGTCAAATGAATCCCCTCACACAGCATCACAACTACAAAACATCAATAATGGAGAGAGAAAAAAAAAAAAAAAAAAAAGGGACCCCTTAGTGCTATACTGTCCACTCTGGCAGAGTCTGACCACGGTTGTTATCAAGCAGAGTTTCACGTAAGTACCCATTGGTGCCTTTTATCATAAAACTGTGTGACAGTGTGGCACTATTAGCCTGTCCTTTTCCTCTCTCCATGGCCCATTTATGAGGTTTTGAACAATTGTGATGCCTGCCAGAGGGGGGTCATCTGTCAGTTATCTTGCATAGTTCTAGCGCCTTTATGACCTCTATCTGGTAGAGATCGGAGATCTTTGGAAAGAAGTTCTATTTGGTGGTGGTGCAGGAAATGCATACAAAAAGGTATAAGAAAAAAAAAAAAAATTGACTTTAGGACCACTTTAAAATGTTTAGGCACTGGGTGTCTCCTTTGTATGTTAAAGAGCTGATCTCAGATAGTCCTCAGCCCAGATATAGGTTCAGATTATGGTGGCCTAGTTAAGAAATCCTTGTAGTCAGCCATTAAGCCTTCTCCCCTGAAACATCTAAAAAGCAGTTTTTAAAACTTTCTTTTTTTTTTTTTTTTAGGGGGGGGGGGGGGGGGGGGGGGGGGGGGGGGGAGGCGAGGGGGGGGGGGGGGGGGGCATTAGTCCCATTTATTTAGCCTGGTGATCCAGGCAGTGACATTTTCTGTCCAAGGGTGTCTGCATTCTGGATGAGGTGGTAAAGCAGACACATTTGGACAGCAGCATTGTCTGGGGAAAGGGTAGTGTTAGATTATCATATTTGGATGAACTTAATTTACAAATCATCTATGTACCACTTGCATACAGAATACCTCAAGGTATCCATATTGCATTTTACAGAAAATTACAGCACTGCAGACTGAAAAGGAAAGGTAACTTAATAACATTTAACAATAGGACTTGTGTTACAGCAGAAGAGGAAGTCAGGTCTGTACGTCATACAGACCTGGCCAGCTGGAAGCAGTGCTGTAGGTCCAAACACTGTATAGACCTGGCAGTGAAAGGGTTAAGGGTGCAAAATTCTGTTCAAGACCAGTGTGCTGAAAAGGCATAATGCAATGCAGTGTGTAATCTCTGACTGAATGAACTGTTTACACCAGGCAAAATAAGAGTTTCAGGTATAATAGTTCCCCAGGAAGTGGCTTTTTTTGTTTACAGCAAGGTAGGAATTGCAGACTCTGATAACCCTCTAACCTAAGATCTGGGTTTCAACAGTAATGACATTAACAGCCAGAGACTGAGAAACAGGATGGAACAGAGGTAGCAGAACTGGCCTATTGAGAAGGAGACAGGGGTTGTCTATTGGAAATCTAAGCATTTCTGCATACCAGGTTCTTCTGGGCTAGTTTGGTGCAATTAGAATCACTACTTTTCTCTTGCTGCATTTTGTACAACAGGTCAAGCAGAATTTGCCCTGGAGGGAAGGTATAAATTAGCCTGAATGGAGACCAGGGAATTAGAGCATCTGAAGCCAGGGTTAGAGGATTACTGGTTCTCGCAACAGAGGAATCCCCATCTTTGCCATATCAGACTAAAAACATCTGGATTAAGAGACTATTCCTCTTTTTCCAACTGGAGGTAGCAGAGAACGCCTCCACTCCTAGGAGGAGACCTCAGAAAATCACTGGACAAAGTTTCTGTCCATGAGAGAGTCTAGTCTGCTTCCTTCAAGGCATAAGTGTGAGACACCTTTTGCAGGAAGCTTCAGAAGTCCAAGCTTTGAAGTGGTTGTAAAGATAGGTTTTATTTTTTTTTTTTTGCCTTCGTACATTCTATGAATAAAAAGGTCAAAAGCCTTCTGAGTGCAGCTTCCCCCCATACTTACCTGAGCCCCATTTCAATCCAGAGGTATCCACAAGAGCAGAGGCTCTCAGCTCTCTCACTTCTAATTGGCTTAGAGACAGCAGCAGGAGCCAGTCAATCACAGCCAGTGAGGAGGGAGAGCAGGAGGGCAGGGCTGGGCTGCACACTTGCTCTCTCATGGACACAAAGGTAAGTGGCTAAATGGTTAGTACTTCCGCCTGGTAGTACTAGGGTCATTGGTACGAATCCCCACCATGGCACCACCTGCCTGGAGTTTGCATGTTCTCCCTGTGCCTGCGTGGGTTTCCTTCAGTTTCCTCCCACACTACAAAGACATGCTGGTAGATGAATTGGTTCCTGTCTAAATTGGCCCTAGTATGTGTATGTAGGAAGTTAGGGACCTTAGATTGTACACCCCTTGAGCGTTAGGGACTGATAGCCTGCACGAATGCCCCCATAGCAAGCAGCTTGTTCGGCAGTAGGGAGAGGCCAGGAGCACCAGCAGGGGACCAAAGAGGAAAATTGGGGCTGCTCTGTGTAAAACCACTGTACACAACAGGCAAGTATGACTTTTTAAAATAAGAATATTTAAAATAACTTTAAGACATAAGATTCTGCACATATGAATGTACATTAGAGCCATTCTGGAAATTTGTCTCATGATGTTCTCTAGGGCAGGTGTTTCAGAACTTTCTAAGCAAAAGGGCAAATCTACTGCCCTTCACACTTTAAGGGCCTGGATTGTGGCTATTGGAAGTAGAAAAAGCCCCAGCATCAGTGGCAGTACACAGTGCCTCAGTCTTGGTGGTCAGTGTAAAACTACATTGCACCTGTGGTCAGTAGGAGGAGAAAACAGAGCTCCATGATTGAGATTATTGAAAGGAATAGTGCCCAACATTGGTTTCAGTGTGAAGATCAGTGCCCCAGTAGGAGAAAGGTAGAGATATAGTGTTCCATCATTTTTATCAATGGGAGGAATTATGCCTCATCGGTATCAGTGGGAGGAACAGTGCCTGAATGCAGCAGCTTCTGTTAAAACTTCGCAGCACCAGAAGACAAGCACTCAGGGCAGTAGCCAATGGCTGTGAAGGAGAAGCAGGTAATGGAATACACGCCAATAAACATAACTAATGTGTATTCCAAAAATAAATAGCTGAACGTCAGCTTTAAGCAAGGCATATAATGATTAGATGATTACCAAGAAGTTTTTTGATGTCCCAGTTATCCATCAAATATTTATATTACTTAACACACAACACATACTGTGACAGAGGAGTTATTTTACTAGTTGGCCTGGCATTGTAATTAGAGCTTGACAAACAAATGAGGGATAAAGGTTTTGAAATGCCAAGCGGATCACCTCCAGTGATATCCTATTAAAGTCCTACCGAGTGCAACACTGAGGTCACATTATTATTGCAGCATTAAGGGCGTCAACTGAAAACGTCCAGTGAACTTATGGAAAACACAACGTCCGGCAAGGCTACAGCCAGTTCTGCTTACTCACAGATGAGACAGATGACAGGTTTTTACCACATATGGCAGAAAGGATGTGACTGTCAGTGGAACAATTGAGAACCACCACAAAGAGAAAAAAAAAAAAAAAAAACACAACTTCCTCTTTTCATAGTATTAAAAACAAACACCACAGCAGCTCTATAGAGATCATGTGCCAAATGCAACCAGCAACAGAAAAGTTCTCTTTAACAGAGGATGGGATGACAGGCCATATTGAGATTTCAAGAGTAACAAAGCTACTAAAAAGGAAGCCATTTTTTATGGGTCAGCTTTTTACCATATTAAAAGAAAGTAGAAAACAAGCAGATTTAGAATTTGCTCAATATATCACAGTATTGAAAACAATCCTGGCATGTTTTTTTTAATGCCAACCTGAAATTACCCAAGTCAATAAAAAGACTAATGCTTTCAACTGCAGGCACCTCTAAATAGGTTTCTTTGGTGCTTTGGTATGTTAAAGTGGTTCTAAAGGCTCAAGGTTTTTTTTAATCTTCATGCAGTCTATGTGCAGCAACCCCACGAATCCTTACCGGAGCCCCCTCCGATCCAGCAATGTTCACAATAGCCATTGCTAAGACCACTGCTGTCAATCACAGCCAGTGAGCAAATAATGAGAGTGGGGGGTGACGCCGCGGTTGTGTCTAATGGATGCACAGAGCAGCGGGTCAGGAGCGTCTCTCTGGAGGTGTTGCTTGAGGCGATCGGAAGTGGAAGGTGTCCTCCCTCCCGTCTTTTGGCACAGACAGCAGAAGACTACAGGTTCAGGCTCTAGCGCATGGCGCAGTGGGTACCCGCACCACATAGCAGTGCCCATAGGGTGAGCAGCTCTCTCTGGAGGAAACAGGGTGTTGTAGCTTGAGGGGTGATCGGAAGTGGAAGGTGTCCTCCCTCCCGTCTTTTGGCACAATTCTGCTGTGAGGAATTTATGACAAAGAGTGGTCATTGT